GTTAATGAACATTTAGAAGCAAGTATTAGTGCAGATGTATTTACCAAGCAAGTCAATGTTGATGGTCAAAACCATAACGTTGCTTTATGGGATACTGCTGGACAAGAAAAATTTAGATCAACAACAAAATCTTATTTGAGAGGGTTACATGGAGTATTATTTTGTTTCGACATAACAAAGAAAGAAACATTTAATTGTATTGATATGTGGATTCAAGAATATGAGCAAGCTCAAACACTAAAAGATTTGGCTGCTCGTTATTTAATTGGTTGTAAAGGTGATTTAGCTTCTAAACGTGAAGTTTCAATAGAAGATGCTGAAAATTATGCCAAATCAAAAAATATGACTTATTTAGAATGTTCAGCAAAAACAGGAGATAATGTTGATAACTTACTAGCTTCTGTTATTCGTTCTTTTAAACAGAAAAATCCTTCTTTAGTTACTCTTGGAATTATGCGTCCTAGTGTTTCAGATTCTTCTGCAACTACTTTATCATCTTCTTCAACAACAACTGCTCCAATTTCAGTTCAACCAAAAGAAGAAGAACCTATAACATTGGCTAAGCCACATTCATCAAATAACGAACCTCAAGAGGCTGGAGGATGTTGTTAATTGAACTATTTTTGTTATATTTTTATTTTTTTAATCATTACAAACATCAAAGAATTTTAGTACTAGTTTTCTTAACTATTCTTCTTATTAAAAATAGTAAAATATTAATTCATTAATTAATAGTGTTCTTAAGAATCATAAAAATTTAATAATACAAGTCTTTTAATACTTCTTTTAATTCTTTAAGACTAGTAAATTCTTATAACTACAATTATTTTATTTAGGAGTATTAACTAATATTTAAATTAATGTTATTCATATATGTACTATATTGTTCATAGTTGTTATTATTCTTTTATTTTATCTCTTTAATATTTAATACTTCATTTTTTAATTTCATTATTAGTTCTATTATATTTTCATTCATTTAATGTTATTTAGGATTTCAATACTATTTGATATAGACAATTATCACACTCAAACAATGATTACTTTATAATTCATAATTTATTATTTAATAAGATATTAGAATAGTATTACCATTTATTTCTAATTTTTTAATTCATTATTTTATTTATTAGTCATTATGTATTCTTATTTTTACATTTACTATCATTATTTTTGTTTCATTTGTATCTCTTAAAACTTGCAAATTATCTAGTTTATTATTTCTATTATAATTATAATCTATTTTGTATTAAGTAAAGTTATTGTTTATCTTATTCTTAATATTGTAAATCTCATTTTATTTTCTTCTTTTAAAATATTTCTTTCATATTAATTATTTAAAGAATATTCTACAATTTTATTCTTTCATTTTCATTCATCTCATTCATTATTTATGACTTGTTATTCATTAGAAATTCTTGTTGATAAATAACAGTTTGTTTAGTTACTTAGTTTATATATTTTAATTAATTTCTTTTGATTATCAATTCTTTAAACTCTTTGTTTTCTTTATTTCATCCTTTATTCTTTAGTATCTTTATAATTTTTTTTTCATCATTATATTTTTTTGTTTATTTTCATTTTTCATTTTATGTTTATTTGTTTAAATTCATATTTGGTTATTGTTTTTCAAATGACTTTATCATATTCTTTGTACTTATTTCATTACTCGGTTTAATTTATTCTCAACAACTATTTTATCTTCTTGTATAAACATAACTATTATCTTAATTTCTTTACTATTAATTTTTATCACTTTTTTTTTATTCGTGTATTGTTATTCATTACTTCATTATATTTATTTAACTGTGTTATTTATGTCTTAAATTATTTCAATAAATTTATTCAACTTCATATTGTATTTATCAAATTCATAATTAACAAAATAGAAATAATAAAAGTTAAAAGAAAGAATATTAAAGAATAAATTCAAAATATGCATTTAAGATATGATGATATTTGTATTCAATAAATATTTTAACATCAATCCATTCATTGCAAATAACACTAAAAATGAAAAACAATGAAGTAATAAGAATTATATGAATAAATAATAATAAAATATAGACATAAATTGAATAAATGATAACTATAATAAATAATAAACTATGAGAAAATGAATAAAAGAAATAATAGAAGAAATGATAAAAGATGAATATAAATTAAAAATAAAATAAGAAGAAATTAAATAACGAATAGATGACTGTTGGTATATTAATTGATAACAATCTTGATCATTCATAAAAAACAATTTCTTATTTTATTAACTGATGTTAGTTTAAGAATTAGTGTCAGTGTTGAACATATATTGAAACATTCATCTCTAAGTGATTTAACTTCTATTAGTACTGTATTTTAATATTTATTTCTATCTTCATATTTATTCTATGTTTTTAAATATAGTTCTTCTTCTTCTACTATACACCATATTACGTATTTAAATATTTTCCATCATCAAATATATCATCATATTTATTATATTAATATAAAATGTTTCAATATCAAGAAATAATTTTCTTGAAAATCATCTAAAGGAATTGGATCAAAATGAAATCGTTCCATATTTCCTTGAAATCTTTTAACACATATTTCTAAATTAATAAAACAATTAACATCATTAAAATACATTAACGCTATCACTATTTCATTATATCCTATTCTCATTCATTCTTTGTTATTTATTATTGTATTTTCAATTCTTATTTTATTTGAACTTAAAATATTTTTAAGATTAAATTTTGCTTCTTTTTATTCTTTAAATTTTCATTCGAAGGTGGCACGTCAGAAACACCACGTACCAGTACGAGTATTAAAATGAAACCAAGGTTTGATTCATAAGTATCACCTAGTCATGGTATTCTCTTTAGTAAGATAATTTACATTTAATATTTCAATTATTGATATTGTTTATCAAGGAATGGCATTATTTATTTAGATATAAGATTTAGTATTTATTACAATGGTTGCATTATTTCTTTATTAATATGGAAGCACATATTAACGAAAGTTTAAAGTTGGATATGAGTTATTATCAACAATTAAAATTTGTTAAGTCATTGTCAAGTTTAGAGGAGATGAGACATAGTCATATGCTATTGATATATTCTTCTTAAATAACATTGTCAATAATACAGCTTTTAATACTCATTAATTTTAAACTTATTCAGATAACAATTTAAATAAAGAGCCATTAACTTGAGCATCTTTGAAAGAAGTTTAATTTGTTAGAAATAAAGAATATTAAAGAAGTTAGTTTATTCATTTCTCAATATGATGAAATACTAATTGTTAGTTAAATTATAATTAAATTTTGTTTTTCTTATTATTTATTATTTATTAAAATAACACCCCCATTGGGTGTGATTTTTCAAATAAAATAAAACAAGAATGAAATATGAACATTTTTATATTCATCATTTCATTTATTGATAGATGAAATGTTCATATTTATTTATTGATTTTATTTTATATTCTTTTTTATTTTTATATTTCAAATAAATAATAATGAATAAAAATCATTTCATTTCAATTACAATGATTCGTTGTGGTGTGAAAGAATATGGATATTGTTTTCCACAAAGTGCATTTGATATTCCTTTATATTCAAAAGATTCTTGATAACACCACGATTTTGTTTTATTATTTTCTTTAAAAAGAAGAATATCACATCCATATATTTCATATTCATCATTTCCAAACTGAAACAAAAAATCACTTGATTGATTAAATAAATAAAATGCATATTGTGGTTGTTTGATATCAAATTTCATCATTCCTTGTATTCTTCCTTTTGTTTCTAAAGAAAATAAAAATGATTTTGGATCATTTATATCTTTATTTACTTTATCAATTTTCTCATTAATATATCCTCCAAATTTATTTCCATTTTCATCTTCAATAATAATTATTATATGTTCTTTATTTATTATTCTTTCTCCAAATACTGATGTATTAACATCCCAATCGTCAATCTCTGAATCAAATAGTATATTAGATATTCTTCTTTCAGTCCATTCTTCTAGTTGTTTCATTTCTTTTGTTTTATCAAGTAGTATTTTACTTATTAATGTTGATGTTGTTTTCATTGTTGTTGCTTATTTTTAAGTTTCTTCCATTTTCTTTTGTTTTTAATAACGTTTTTATTTTATTGTTATATATTACAAATATTATTATTGTTATTTGTTATTTTATTAAATCTCATAATATCTATTTTCTGTTGAAAAATACTGACTCAGCCATAACTTAGAAATTAAGCTACAATGTATAGTCATCTTCGATGTACTGTTTATTGATTGAGTATTTATAAAATAACGTTTAATTGAATTTCAAACAGTAAATAAATCAATTACGAATTATTTACGATTATGTTTTCACCACGTTGAGAAGCGAGTGATTCAGTTTATTCAACATACCTTATTTCTATTGAAATAAAGTTTTTTCAATCATACTTGAATTAACAGTTCTTCATTTAAGTTGCTATCTGATTTTTATTTTGAATTAAATGAGTATTAAAACTCTTCATCATTTATATTGTCATTATAAGATAAATATCCACAATACTATGACTATGGACCATCTCCTTTATTATCAACATCACTTGAAGAATCCCTTTTTCTTAATAACACGCCACGTACTCAGTCCAAAACTATCCTTAATAAATACAGTGCGTCCTAATAAATAACAACACTACCACCATAATAAATAATACTCCTTAACAAACAATGTTTCGATAATATCAGTCATAATAAATGGCAATAAATAATAACCAATTACTCTTGACTGGTGTTTTATCTCACCAAAAGCACGTCATGACCAGACAATAACTTATGACTCGAAGCTTAGATATACTATGGTTCCATGTGGTTCTCTGACGTACTATATTCGAGTCGTATTATGGAGATATATTTTTATGTAAAGAACTGACAATATCAATGAATAATATCATAATCTTGTTTTATGTTATTTTAATTATTTATCAAAAAGAGGATTTTGTTTTTATAAACAAATCATTTTAAATATTTTGTTCATAAAATTATTGTCATATTTTTACAAGTGTTAAAGCCAATTAGTTCTATATCAATTAAGGAAATAATGTTTTCTTTAATATAGTATTGTTCAAATATTTATTTGAGATAATGAGATATTTTAAAAGTAGTAACAAAAACATTGGTTATTGTGTTAGTTCTAATTCTTGTTCAATTAAAAATATCACTTTAATCAAAAATGAAAAACTGATATAAGTAATTGACATAACAATATGCAATGTATGAAATATTAACATAAAATAGGTTGGTATAAATAATTTAGAAAATGGGTGTGTTGTTATAAAGTTATGAGTAAGATTTTAGTTAATGAAAGTTTATTCACTTGTTTATTTTGAGAAATGGAGATGGTAATTATTAAATAGATAATTCTATTGAAGGAGATAATAATAGGGTGTGAGGATATACATTTCAAATATGGAGAGTGGGAAATAGGGATATGGGAATGGAAAGATATAAATTCAACAAGAAGTTCAAAAGAAAACAATAGAAGTGTTTCTGATTTAGTCCATATATATTAAATAAATTATAAAATATAGTTTGGATTTTATAGAATAAAAACATACAGAACAAAAATAGTGTTAATGCCATACCCAAATCAAATCAGCAATACACAGTATTAAACAGTTAAGACTAATATTATGTTATCGTTAGAAATAAGTATGAACAGAAAAGAAAGAGAAGAAATGATAAAACAGAGAAAAAACACAAGAACAAAAATTTGGAACAATGATAAAATGAATGTAATAAGAAGAAAGATAAAATTAAGGATAAAGAGTACTAATACAAAAAGATTATAGAAATAAGAAAATAATAGAAAGAAAAGAAATAAAGAAACAACATTTAAAACATAAAAATGAAGAAAAATAGAAAAAGAAATATCTGAAGAAAAAAAAAGAGGAAAACATAAAGTGGAACAAGACAAGAATAACTTTAAAATCATATATAATGTCCATTATAACAAGGAACAGATATGCAGATAAAAGAAATTATCAGTCAAAAGTTAGAGCATTTTGTATTGCACTAATAAATAGACATTGTGATGTTGAAGTGAAACAACGAAGAAATGTTAAATGTATCACATTACCATTTTTTCAAATTAAAAGACTTCACTTTAATAATAAGGAAGATTATGTTATCGATTTACAAGAAATAATTAAACAAAGAGTATATGGATTAGAAGAGACAGATATTAAAAATAATATAAATATACAAAGAGTGATGTATCGAAAGAAGAAGAATGGATATAGAGAATCAATTAATATTGTTAATGATCTTTTAAGTGAATTTGGGTATTTTGTTTACTCAACACAAACACCAGGAAGATATCATAGTGTTAAAATGGATATTGTTAAATCAATAACAGTTAATGGAATAATTTACGATAAAAAAGCGATAGAACGAATTGGAGAAGAAATATGTAAAGAGATAGAAGAGAAAATAGGGAGAGAAAAGGTTATTTTAGTAAAACAAAACGATAACAAGCTTTCTAAACTATTAAAAGAAAGATAAAGTACTCTAAATTTTAATTGAGAAAATTAAAATCAATTTTATAAAAATCAAAAACTAAAAGTTTTAAGAAAAAAAAAAAGAAAAAACAATAAAAAAAAACAACAAATGGGAAATACAATATCTACTAATGAATCACATCATCAAAATAATGAAGAAAAAGAATTTCTTGATTATTGTAAAGAGTCAGAGAGAATGATTAGACTTAACCCACCATTTAAATTAGTTAGAACAACACCAGAAAAAGCTATAGAATTTGTAAAACAACATGCACCAGAATATACACCTGAAGTTTTAGAATATCCTAATCCATTACCAGAAGAATTTAAAGCAATTAAACATGAACAAGAATTACCAATAGAATTAAGAGAAAGAATTATTGGATTAATTATTGGACAAGCAGTTGGAGATGCAGTTGGATTATCTACAGAATTTATTAATAAAGAAAGTGCAAAATATTTTTATAAAGGAGAGCATATAAATTATAAACATTATATTATTGATCAACATCGATCAAAATGGATGAATGAAGAATTTAAGTGTGGAGATTGGACAGATGATACAGATCAATGTATTTTAATAATAGATAGTCTTGTTCATAATAATGGAGAAGTTGATGTAATAGACTTTGCAAAAAGATGTTATTATTGGATTCATTTTGGATTTACAGAATTAGGAGATTTAGGAGGACTTGGAATTGGAAAGAATTTTGGAAAAATAGTAAGAAGTAAAGGATGGATTAATGATCCAATTGGACAAAGTGAAAAAATTTGGAGAGAAGGAGGATGTAAAGCAGCACCAAATGGAAGTGTGATGAGAACATCAGTTCTAGCAATACCATATTTCTGGGATGAAGAAAAAGTTAAAGAAAATTCAAAGAAAATAGGAAGTACTACACATGCAGATCCTAGATGTCAAGCATCTGTTAATGTAATTGTACTTATATTAGCAAAATTATTACAAGGAAGAGAAGATATTGAAGAAATAATTAAAGAATCAATTTATGATAGTGAAAAAATGTTAAATGAAGAATATAAAAAAGAATTTATAGAATACACAAATGCTAAAACACTTGAAGAAATAAAATTAAATGAATCTATAGGATATACATTTAAACCTGTAGGATGTGCTATATTATCATTAAGAGAAGCATTTAAAATGAAAGAAAAAGGAATAGATAAAACAATAATATTTGAAAAATTAATTGAAAGAATTGCATATGAAGGAGGAGATGCAGATACAAATGGAGCAGTAGTTGGAGCAGTTCTTGGAACATATTTAAAAGGAATTTGTATGCCTAATGATTGGTTAGATTTAGATAATAAAAAATGGTTAGAAGAACGATTAAATCGTTTATTACATCTTTATCAATTAGAACCTTTTCATTTTAAATAATTTTTTTATTTCATTTCTTTTTTTTTTTATCTTTAAAAAAATATTAAAAAAGTCTTAAAAAATTTAATTAATTTAATTAATTTAATAAATATCATTAAGAATTTGAAGACATCCTTTATAATCAATGTCTTTATGTGCACCAACTGGATTATATTCAAATTTTCTTGCAATATTTTCAAATTCTTCTTTTCCTTTACCCCATTCTGATAATTTTGTTTTCATTCCAATTGATTTAAACCATTTCTCTATTGCTTCTATTGTTGCTTCTGCTGTACTATTCTTAATTCCAAAAACTTGTTCTCCCATTTGAATTATTTTTTTTCTATTTTTCTCTTTATTAAATCTCATTACACCTAATGTTGTAATTGCTAATGTTTCTCCATGTGCAAGTCCATAATAATTAGTTATTTCATGTCCTATTGCATGTGCTCCTCCACAAAGTTGTACTCCACATAAAAGTGATGTATTTAATGCTACTGTGGCAGCATAACAGAATGTAATTCGTGCTTGATAATCTTGATGATTTTCTATTGTTTTATGCGATACTGCAATGATTGTTCTCATTACACCTTCTGCTTCTGCTTCTACAACTGGATTTAAATGATAATTTCCAATATATTGTTCAATACAATGAACAAATGAATCAACAAGTCCATTTCTAATTTGATTATCTGGAAGAGACATAGTAAAACATGGATCAACAATAGACCATGTTGGAAAAATTGATTCATCATTAAATGATAATTTTTGTTTGTCTGAATGTCTTGAAATAACTCCCCAACAATTCATTTCTGATCCTGTAGCTGGAATTGTTAAAATTACTCCTATTTTAGCTTTAGCTGGATTTACTTTAAATTCTCTTTTTTTAATACAAATATCATATGGATCATTTGAATATGTATGTTCCATTCCAAGTGCTATATATTTTGTTGCATCAATAATTGATCCTCCTCCAACTGCAACAAAGAAGTTAATTTGATTTTCTTTAGCAATTTTAATAGCCTTAATACATGTTTCATGTGATGGATTTGGTTCTATTCCTCCAAACTCTATTATTGGTTTAATATGTTTCATGACTTCTTCATAAACTCCATTCTTCTTAATAGATCCTCCTCCATATGTCATCATGATTCTTGCATCCTCAGGAATTAAATGTTGTTTCTCAATCTCATCTAATGACCCTTTTCCATAAATTAATCTAACTGGATTATAATATGTGAAATTAAGCATTGTCATTGTTTCTTCAACTCAATGAATATACACTTTTCTCTGTTGTTTAAATAGTCCTTTCATTCTGTAATCTTGTGTATAAAAACATTAACAACTCAACTATTTTGATAATAATTCGCTTTATTGTATCAAAACTTCATCAATCAACGAATACTATAAACTTCATGAATTTTCATTACATATTAATGACACACTTTGTGCAGAAATAGAAACCATAGAACAGAAAGAATACCATAAATCAAATTACTTCGTTTGTTGATTGTATCAAAAAAGTAGAAAGACAAATATTACATAACAATAAATAAAACTTTAAAACTCATAATGTATCGACATTTCTTTCTGAACATTCAGAAAAAACTAGCATTTTGTGATATGGAGATTGTTCAGCATAAATGAAAATTAGTTATACATTAACTCTTAAAACATAAAAACAACACCATAAAACTCTTCTCAAACTAGAGGTGTAAATAACTATACAAATAAAGAAATAAAACAACAAGAGTATGAAAGAAGAATAAGAAGAAACATAAAACATTTCATTCAAATAATTTTTTGTTTTATCACAACATTTTAACTATTCAAACAATCAATAACAAAATTATTTATAATGAAAATTGTTTTTTATACAATAAAAGATATTTAAATAATGAGATAAAATTATTTTTGTTATATACAACAAATAATAAAAAAAGAAAAATAAAAACTTCAAAAAAAAACTGTAAAATAAAAAAAGAGGAGTATGACAGAACCACTTCAAAGCAGTTATATCAAAAAAGTTATTGTACATCCATTAGTGTTATTGAGTATTTCTGATCATCAAACAAGAGCTAATAAAGAAGGGAAACGTGTTGTTGGAGTATTATTAGGATTTATAAGAAAAGGAGTTGTTGATGTAATGAATTCATTTGCTGTACCATTTGATGAAGATGAAAAAGATAATATTTGGTATTTAGATCATCAATATTTAGAAACAGTGTATCGTATGACACAAAGAGTAACAGCAAAAGAAGTATTAGTTGGATGGTATTCTACTTCTTCATCAATAAAACCATGTGACATTCAGATACATTCAGTGATTAATAAATATACTGCACATCCTATTTATCTTACAGTGGATGTATCAGCTACTATATCTCATGATCTTCCAGTTCATTCATATGTTTCAGCAGAATCAATTGATTCATCAGAAAATATTCTTCTTCAACCAGAACTTTCATTAAGATTTATTCATGTTCCAACAGATGTTGGATCTGATGAATCAGAAGTTGGTGTAGAACGTTTATTAAGAGACCTTCAAAAACCTACTGGAACTGTTTTAAAACATGAAGTTGAATTAAAAATGGATTCATTAAGAGCATTAGATGATAAAATTAAATTAATGAGAAATTATTTAGAATTAGTTGAATCAGGAAAAATTCCAGTTAATCAAAAGATTATTCAAAATATCCAAGACATTTTTAATTTATCACCAAATATTGAAAAATATACACAACAATTTGCAGTTAATATAAATGATGTAATGGTAACTATTTATCTCTCACAATTAGTTAAATCAGTTCTTGCTGTTCATGATTTAATCAGAAATAAGAATGATTATGAATTTAAATTAAAACAACTTCATGATAATAATAATAAAGAATCAACTAAAGATGATACTCAACAACAGCAACCAGTTGTTCAAAAATAATTAATTCAATTCTTTTCTTTTTTATTTAAATTTCGTTTTTATTTCAAAGTTATTTTTGTGTTAATTTGGGCTTGTATCCATTGGTTTAGATGTAGTATTAATTTCATCCACTTTAGGAACAACTGGTGTTCTATTAACTTTATAATATGTAAAATGAGCTTCATGTTGGTCAATAATATTTTTCATTATTTCTGGATTCTCACATGCTTGACGAAAATCAGGATTTTGTAATTGTTCTAAATAATAAAGACAAGCAGGATATTGAATAAATTTAATATAATTTGGTTGTTTCCAATACTGAAGATATTTAAGAAAATGAATCATATCAGGTTTTCTTAAATACTTATGATAAGCCAAATCTTATTTATCATCAGTTTTTTATATTAATGCTTTGTTAATTATAAAATATTACAAACATTGAATGTAATGTGGATTTGCAAGTGATTGTAGAAAGTCAAGCTCATATTCAAATCGTTTCTTTTCTCCTAATTCATTAGTACTTCTCATATCAATTGAATTGCTCATTTGGTTGTGTTATTTGTTTTTTTTGTGTTTTTCTTTTTTAAGATGAATTCTATAAATAGAATACTGGAATAACAAAGAATCTTAGAAATAAGAGAAGTTCATACAAATCTCAGGATGGAGGAAAAGTCAACAAACGAGAGAAGTGAAACACAACCACCTCAAATGGAAGAACTACAGAAAAAAGTCGAAGAGCTTCAAAAAGAATTGAAATCTGTGAATGAAGAAAATGATTTATTGAGGGAAGAAGTCCAAAATTGTTATAATGCTGAAGACAAAAGTTTTGAACTTGAAAATTATCAGAAACAGGTTGAAGAACTCACAACATTAAATGAAAAAACAGCTAAAGAAAAAGAAGAAATTGAACAAAAGTTAAAGGAATTAAAAGAAGAGAAAAATAATGGAATTGAAAATGAAGAGAAGATTAAAGATGAACTTATGAGTATAAAGAAAGAAAGAGATGATAAAAACTATGAATTGTCCATTGCCAAAGAAAATTATGAGAAATTGAAAAATGAAAAAGAAAGAATGAATACTAAAATAGGAGAGTTAAACAAAAATATTGAATCATTAAACACAATAATCAATGAAAAGGATAGTGTTATTAAAAGATTAAATGTAACTGTTTCTGAAAAGGAGACTTTGATAGGAACAAATATTAAAGGACTTGAAAAATCAGAAGAAGAGCTTAATAAAATTCTTTCACAGAGTTTTGTTATAGTTACTGAAATTCAAAACGAAAAAACTAATAGAGAACAATTACTTGATGGGTTACTTAGAGAAATGATGAGAACAGAGTTAGAGACAAAATTACACCAAGCAAATTATGAAAAGAAAATGAAAGAAGTTATGGTATTAAATCAAGAGATTAATCAAATGAAAGTTTTAATTGTTAACTCTATTCAAAAAGCTAAAGAAGAAATAAAGAAAAAAGATAACGAAATTAAAAGTCTTCGTGAAGAATTAGAAAATGAAAAAAAGAATAATCAAAACAATAAAACAAATGAAGAACAAATTAAGGAATTGAATGAAATTAAAGAAATAAATCAGAAAGTCATTACACAAAATGAAGAATTGAAAAAGATTCTTGAAGAGTTCAAATTAAAAGAAGGAGCTTTACAACAGGAAATTAAAGAAAATAAAGAAAAAAATCAAAAATTACAAGATGAAAAAGAAGAATTTAGAAAAGTCAATGAAGAAATGAAAATAACTACTCAAGAATTACAACAACAATTAAATCAAATTAAAACAACAAATGAAGAAGAACAAAAAAAGAGACAGGAAGAAATAGATAATTTACAACAAAAAATAAATGTTCTTTCATATGAAAATACTCAACTCAATTCACAAATAAAAATTAATCAACAACAAAAAGGAAGTATCCCTTCATTGGATTCTTCAATAAATATTTTTGAGATAAAAGCAAGGATAGAAGATCTTGACAATAATGTAGTTAATCTAAGTAAGTTACTAAATGAGGAAAAGATAAAAAATAAAGCACTTCAAGAAGAATTAACTTCTAAAATCAAACGATTAAATGAAATTGAAAAGAATTTATTGAATACTGAAACACGTAAGTTGTTATTTAATTATGTTGCACTTGGAGTTAAGTTAATGAATGCATCTAATTCTAATAAAAATACAAATTTAACAGATTTTTATGTTGATATGGAAGCAGAAGGTGTTCCAATTTGTGAATGGCCTATGTGGATTAATTCACAGATTGAACATACAGAAACACGACCTCTTCATTAATAGCATAATTTTAACTGATTGATATTTTCATATTTTAAAATAACTTCAATACATCATTTCATGAAAAAAAAACAACTATCCATTCACACGTTAACCAATTGAATTGTGTTTCTTTCTTTTAACTAAACTACTTGTTTCCTTTTTGTTTGTTTAATTATGGAAATAAGAGAATAAATAATGATAAATACTTATTAGAATTTGTTCTTGAATTTATCTTATTTAAATCTTTGATTCCATCATTAAATAATACATATGATGATAACAAAAAGACTTTTTATACATTGTCTCTTTCATATGTTTAAAAGTAGTTGAGAAGTAATAAATATTCTCATAACTTAATATGGTTCTTTGTTAATTTACTAATCTACTTTTGTCCAATTCTCTTTATACAAATTTGTTCATCACCTGATTTAATAAAGAAACGAAAATCAAACAAACTGTGATTGAATCTTTGTCCTGAACATTAAAAAAATACAAAAAGAAATAAGCAAAAAAAAGGAACATAGTGGAAAGAATTGATGTTAATAAAAAGTATAAACAACAATAAAAATAGTTAATGTATAAAGAGTAGAAATCAAATTATCCTGATTAATAAACAAGAGTAAATATGGTAATAAAGAGTATTGTATTACTTTCTCAAATAGTAAAATGATACAGATAATTCTTTGAATTGAATAAGTATAACCATATAATGAAAACAGAAATATACTCAAAGAATAAAATAAAACAAAACAAGTAGAGAAAAATAGATTAATTCTAATACCATTTGTTATCACTGTAAAATATCATTATAAACATAAATTTTTGAGTAGAATGAAAAGACTATTATCTTTCATCTATTTATAGTACTAACCAATTACAAAATAAGAATTAGACAATTTGATAATGAGTGGTTTAAAGAAAAATAAAATTAACGTATCAAATTTAAAAAAAAAGAAACAACAAAGATATAAATTCTCACATATTTATTTGGATAATCTTTTTACATGAATATTAAATAAAAGAATGAGTAATATTCAAAAGACATGAATAAAACAAATCAAATGAACAAAAGAAAAAAGTGTATCCTAGTTTTATCTGAAATACAGAAAAATGTACATTTTAGTATTAAACTTTGATTGTATAAAATCAGAAAGAGTTGTAAAGATTTTGTGAATTTCTAAAAAAAAATGAGATTTTATGTTTCTTTAGTTTATTTTATTTCATGAGCTTTATTTTCATAGGTTTACTCTTTTATTAATAAATTATTCTATTTTGTAAACAAATAGAAAATAATTAATAATGTGATATTCTCAGTAGCGTTAGAATATAAAATACATTGTTGTCAGACTTATTTTCAATAATTATTTTCATAATTTATCATTTGAGTTAATACTAACTTATAATTTTATCTACTAGTCTATATCTTAATAAGTTTTTTAATATAAAATAACCAGAAGAAATAATGATT